CACACCAGCACAGAGGGAGGGCAGCAGTACAGCTGCCCTGACTGCTGCCCACAGCTGACTTAGGGACTGGACAAGCACTTTATCCTCCCTGAGGGCAGGCCCTCCAGGAGTCACTATCAGTGGAGGCAAAGGAAGTGTTGCTGAAGTTCACATGACTGCCAAGCAGAGACCTCCAACCATGCCTGCATAGAGGATGTGCAGAGAGCTGCCCTTTCTCAGGGTCACTGAAGGTCCCAGGTCCAGTTGGTAGGGAGTTGCTTTAAGCCCAAGTGGGAGAGTGACTAGAGTTGCCCAAAGGAATCCTTTCTCTCTTTGAAAAGTCAGCAGGACTGATGCCTGGCTGAAGCTGTCACTGCCATAAAGCCCAGGAGTGGAGCTGGCTCCTTTGGGGCCTCCAGGTCCCCACCGTGCAGGTCAAAACACCACAGACGGGATTTATGGCATGAGGGAGTACTGGCAGAGAAACCAACTGCTGTCACCTTGGCCTGCAGCTACTTTGAGCCTTGGTTTCCCTGATGTATCCCCCAGATCCCAAGTACCCAATCTAAGAGGCCACAAATGTGTAGGTAGCTGATCCAACCTGAAAAGGAGCAGAAGAGAGAGGTGAGGATGCCCCCACATTGGGAGCCTCTCTACCACTGCCTGTGCTGAGCCCCATCAGGAATTCAGCACTTTTCCTCAGCTTCTACCACCAGAACCCAAAACAGGAACTATCATAGACCTGGTCTCTGAGCTCCAGTGAAGCAATAGGGAGACTTATTGTTGCTAAGAGTCTTTGAGTCAGTTCCAACTCATAGCAACCCCACATAGGGTTTCCAAGGAGCTGCTGGTGACTTTGAACTTCCAACCTTGTGGTTCAAACTGACCTTGCAGTTCAGTGCATTATCCCACAGCACCACACCAGGACTCCAATAGTGAGACTTGTTTTTGTTAAGAGCCATCTAGTAGAGGTCAAATAATTAGGGCTTTCCTGCTACCTGCCCAGCAAAGGACAGGTCATCAGAGACATTAGAACTTCTGCTTCCCTTCCAGGGCCAGGGATGCCAGATGTGTAGAGCAAGCGTAGTGGGGGAGACAGAGGATCATGGAGGGGCAGCAACCTATTGCTGGGATCCTCATCTTGCCAAGAAGAGAGCAAGGAAAGATAAAACTGCCATTCTGGTCCGGTCCCATCCTGCTTTGCATCTGTCTAAGATTTCTGAATGTTCTTGTTGCCTCTTTCCCCAGGTCAGCTCTACAATCCCTGATAGCTCTGGCACGAACATCCTGGAACCAGGAACATAGGATTCTCAGGGAAAGAGGAAGACGCCTTGGCAAAGCTCAGAGCAAAGCCACCCCACCCTATAAAGAAACTTGGAATGAGTGTTCCTATCTGGGATGGACATTCCTGTCTAGGCATAGACATTTAGGGGAAATTTGTTTCTGGTGTCAAGGGTGGTGATGTGAGGTGACTGGCATCCAGGTGCCAATACCTATGAACTGAGCTAGGTGGGGCAGGCTCTGTCACCACTGGACACCTTCTACCTTGCTTTAGGCTAGGAACTCGCACCAGGGAAGGGTTGAGCATGAAGCCTGGGCTCCAGATCATCATCCTTAGACAAGAATCCAGCTCACTTGGAGGGCCACTGCAGCCAGAGGCATCTGAGCTCATTGGGTTAAAAACCCTGGAAACAAACTCCAAAAGAGAGCAGAAGGGGAGAATGAGGCTCAGCTAGCCTAGATATGTAATGTGAAGGCGCTTCCAAGTCATTCCCATTTCCCTGGGCCAATGAGCCACATCTCTGATGGTTGAACTCCCTGATAGGCAGAGCAGAAGTTCTGAGTAAATCTCCTGGGTTCATGGAGAGGAGGTCTCTAGTTCAATGTGGATTGAAAAGTGTTTTCTACGTACTGTACTGGCGGGTGTAGGCTTAATGCCCAACTACTGACTCCTGGGGCTGCTTCTCCCCAGGCAGAGATGGTAAGTATAAAAAAGATGCAGCCCAGGCCTCCCTGAACCATAGTCATTTACATCAGTGCCCTGTCCCTTCCCTGCCCAACAGGCACTGGGTTATGTTCTCTCTTTCAGGTGAAGGAAGTTAGTTCACGAAATGGGCTATGCTGAGGAATTGGCTGGTAAGGCCACTGTCTCATGACAGAGCCATGGTTTGGAATGAGCTCTATCTGAATCCCTCAGGTGTGCCCCTCTCTGCCCCAGAAAGACTTTGGATTCCTAGGAAATTTGCCCCAAAAGCTAGAGCTGAAGTGTAAGGGGAATTTTAGGCCAGACTTATGGTCCCTCATTTAAATGCATTAATCTGTCCCATACATGCCTTTCAGGTACCAGACAACAGTGACACCACATCGATGGGCAGTCAGCAGCATATGTCATTTGGTGCTTCCCAACCTGGCCTCCCCTTCAGCTTTTACTGGCACCCACCTGCTTGTCTGGAGTTCTGGTGTGGCAGTTGAGGATAATGTGCTGGACTGCAAGGTCAGTTTGAGCCACAAGGTCGGTGGTTAAAGCCACCAGTCACACCTTAGAAACCCTGTACATGGTCAGAATTGACATGATGGCATTTAGCAACAACAACCTGCTTGTCTGGGCTGTGATGGAGGGAAACAAGGCAGAAGAACTAGCACCTGTTCTCCACAACTCAAGGTAGTTAAGACCAGACTCCCAATCCCCTGGAAGAAAAAACTGCTCACCCTGATGATAGGCCTAGGACTATCGTGGCCACTAGCAACCTTTGTCTTGTATTGGCTGGCCACCTTACCTGAGAGATTACCCTCTGGAAGGAGTGCCTAGCCTTCACCAGTCTTTAAAACCATCCAGACACCTCTATTGGGGTGTGAAACTACTCCTTCCTGTTCACCCTGATAGTCCAATCAAGATTTTGAAACTCAAAAATAGTTCCAACCCTTAACACTCCAGGTGTGCTTGGGACCATCAGGCAACTCTAAGACTGGAGCTCAGTGCTTGGGGTTGCAGCAGTCAGTGGGGGAGGGGGAAGCTGTACTACAATCCAGAAGTCCCAGAGCCTGCTTAAAAGGGACCCCTCCCTGTGGAATTCTGGCCCCTGAAGGCCCTCTACCCAGAAACAGATCCAAAGCCCCAGATTCTAACTGCACAGGATGATACCCTGCTGATCTCTCCCTCAAAGTTCCTTCCCCCTCTATAAACTGCCCTCCCACCCAGAGATCCCCTTCCTCTCCAAGTCCTTTTCTTGTGAATGCATGAGCCAGTGGTCCATGTACCACAGGGCCTTCATGGGGAAAGAGTCACAACCCAACTTCAGAGAAGTAACTGAGTCCCCACTGCCCTCTCTAAGGCTTGGAGTTCTCAGTGACCATTGGATCCCCAGGATAGGGTTAGGGAGTGTGGCTGCAAGTTGGAGGAGATTGACTGCAAGGGTACTGTCCTTTTCAACTGGTATGGGGCCATGACTATGAGGCCATGAGAGTGGAGAGCATTCCACTCATCTCTCTTCCAGTCTGTCAGGGGTGGTACAGCTGTCTGCCCCTACCCTACATAGGGATAAGAGTACAATGGCCAAGCCACAAGGACAATAGCCCTCTCTTAACTAATGACTGGGAATCAGGCATATAATGGTGACCAAGTGGACAGACTGTCTCTGTCCCCCTCTAGCTCATAGGCCCCTAGTCTTTGAGCCCCTGACCTCAAGCAGGAATCTTCAGGGTCCTTAAAGGTCCAAGGGTTGGATCTCTCTCTAAACTGAGGTTTAGAATGGGCAGCCAGTATGGATGGAGAATAGCTGGATAGCTCTGGTTCCAAGGAGACCCCTACTCAGGTCATCAGTGAGCTTGCCCCAAGACTGGCTCACATGTGACAGTGACACAGAACTGGGAGAAAGAGCCTTCCCCACTTAGAGTGAGCTAGGATGGTCCATCTGGTGGGATGGGGATCATAAGGCTCCTGAGCAAGTGATAGGAACTATCACAATCCATACTCTGGACCCAGACACCATGGCACCCCAGATAGCCCCACTGACTAAGCCTACCTACCCCTCCCAACATTGAGCTTGTTAGTGGTGGGCAGTGAGAAGGGGAATCTGCTCTCCTCCTCCAGTGAAGGCTGCGCCCCCACCCCCACCCCAGCAGCTATTGTGCAGTGGCCTTGGCGAGTATAAATAGCCTGGGCAGTCGGCACCTTGCAGTTGGCGCCTTGAAAGTGTGGAGCTGAGGCCTCACTGCTGGTTCTTCTCTCTCAAGGCTGTAAGTATAATGCTGGCAGAGTTGGGGGGTGGGGGAAAGGCAAGTCTCCATGCCCTGACAGTCAGTGTGTGTGTGTGTGTGTGGTAGGGAGACATGTGGAGAGGGATGCAGGTGGAGCCCTGAAGATTGACTAGCACCCTGGGAAAGGCAACAGGAGGACCAGGTTGTAGCATGCTCAGATACTCAACCCACCCACCCCCATCTGGGTCCATCTCACAGCTCCTGGGGCCCTGTATCTAGCTCTCTGGAGCCTCTTGCCAACCCAACATTTTTTCAGCCTCAAGGTACTGCTCATTCTGCTAAAAATTCTCCTCCCCTAGCTCTGAGCCTGGTGGTTCTTTCCCATTCTCCAGGCCTCAGCTCAAATGTCACCCCCTGGGGAGGCTTCTCTCACCTCACTATCTAATACAGTCCTCTGTTCCCTCCAAGCAGCCTCCTGCCTTTTTCTTTCACAGCATTTACCACAATTTGTACTTAAATATTCATTTGATCATTTACTGGTTCAAAAGCCAGTATCTGTGTGGTCACTGATAAGTCAGTGTACTTTGGTGTGTCCAGAGGGCCAGGCACACAGTAAGCATTTCATAAATATTGTTGCATGAAGGATCACCCTCTCTTGCTTCCTCTATGGGGTGGGGGCCGAATTGCCCCATTGGAGTGCTATGGCTCCTGGAAATAAGGGCAAGGGCAAGGGGAGGTTGACTGAGGTCTCCTTCTATCATGATGATCCAGGAGCAGCTTGAGGTTAGGTAGAAGCTCCTAGGCAGGGCTCTGGGTTATGTGGGTCACAGAGGTTCTGATAGGGGCCGGGGCCTCTCTGTGCTCCTACATGCTGGAGGGGATTGTGGCTGTTCCCCAGGTGCATTTGCCCAGTCCACAGCACCAGGGCCCAGGTTCACATAGGTTGCAGGCAGCTGCACATAGTGGTCCCCACGCAGTGTGGCCATCATACACTCCACTTCCCGTACCAGCACCCCGAAGGTAGGTCGCACTCCTGGATCCGTGGCCCAGCAGCGCTGCATCACTATATACCTGCAAAGGAATGAGGACATGGGGGGCAGGGGATCACCTTAGGCAAGCCATGGCTGCCCATCCACTGTTAAACCCCTGACTCAAAAGGGCAGCATCACTAGTCAGGGGCAGCTTTGCTGTCATTGCCATCCTTGTCCTGCCTTTCCACCCTGATGGAAGTCAAATTCTGTGATGTGGAGGAGTAGGGGCTTAAGAACGTGTGCTCCTAAACCCTGTGATTTGGGCTGTGTAATCTTCAGCAAGTTCTTTAACCTCTCTTTGCCTCCTGGTCTTCCTCCGATCACAGAGTTGTTGGGGCAGAAGGTGAGAGGATAACTGTGAAATGCTTAGCATAGGGTCCAGCTATCATTATGCATCTTTCAGCAAGGAAGCCTGGACATGGCAAAATGGGGATAAAAAACTCAGGCCTGTGGGGCAACATCAGTAATGCCATGGCTCTTATGCAGAGATTTTTCTGAGTTTGTCCAGTGGACCCTACTGCATATACCATTATCTTGGGGATGTCGTCCTGCCTTAAATGACATTCTAAGTGCCCTTTACATAGTGTCTCGTGCAATTCTCAGGATGCTACTGTTACTATCTTCACTTTAAGGATGAGAAAGGACTTGCCCTGGTGAAATGGATGCTGTACTATGCCACCTAGATTTCCTTTTTCCTTCTCCAATGGCTAGAAGTGTTGCCTTGTGACAACTCAGCTGAGAATGTCTCTGGAAACAACCCTAGATAGAAGCCTCCAAATCTCAGCCTTGGTCAGTGGTTGAGGCTTAACATAAAGACCTGTCCCTTAGCCTCAATTTTGAGAAATTCTGAAAGGTTATTCCAGTTCAAGATCCCCATAGAATGGGCTGCAGCCTTTGTTGCATCCACTTGGCTTCCCAACTTCTCCCTCTGCTCCCGTTGTTAAGAGCTGCCATCCATCAAGTGGGCCCTAGCTCACGGTGACCCCATGTGTTACACAGTAGAACTGCTCCATAGGATTTTCTTGGCTGTCATTTTTATACAAGCATGTTGCCAGGCTTTTTTTTCTGTGAAGCATCTAGGTGAATTAAAACCACCAACCTTTCTGTTAGCAGCAGACTGTAAACCACTTGTGTCACCCTAACCTACCAATATAATCTCTGCGCTGAAATCTCTGTCTCAGAGTCTGTTTCAGGGAACCTGAACAGAACACAGGTAAGCAGTAAAGTTAATTTCTCTTACTTCAAAGCAGATTCATTAATGAAGTCAATAATAAAGATTTAACCCAAGGCAAACAGACCTGTGAGGAAGGGGTACTCATACCCTATTTGGAGCTCAGCCTGAGACAGCAGTCATCAATGATTTTTTTTTTTTCATCAATGATTTTTATCTATTATGTGATCTGGTTCTCCCTGTTCTAATAGCACAGACCTGGGCACAAATGAGACTTGCATGCTGTTTAGGAAACTGAACTTCAGCACCAAATGCACACCTTGGGAGTCAGTAACAACACAATCACTTCCATTCCTCCAGGAATATAGAAACTGAAACTACATCCAGTGAAGACAATTATGGTAGCTGATGGAAGTCTTCCTTGAATTTGGATGGGTAAGATCGGACACAGCCCTCCTTGGCAGGGGTGAAGGTAAAGGAGGACTGGAAAATCAAATCACTGGCCTTAACCAAGACTCAGAGATAAAAATGCTGCTACCATGGCAACCATGATGGCCTCCCAGCACCCTGCCTTGAATGGGAATGGGAATGAACACTACATAGATGAGAAACCTGAAGCCTAGAGTGTCCCCACCTAGGTCAAAGAGAGGGTTGGACAAAGGGCCTGAGCAGGAACTTTCTCCTACCTAGTTATTCCCTCCTCATACTCACAAGGAATCAGGGCAATATTCAGGCTGGGGCAGGCGCCGACCCTGGGCCAGGAAGTAGGTAAGGTCAAAAGGGTCGATGTGAGGGTATGGTGGGGCACCCCGTGTCAACAGCTCCCACAGTAGCACACCAAAAGACCACTGCAGAGAAGGCGAAGACAAGGGACTCAACACCTCCCCCAAAATTTGGGGCAGGTGGTCAGCCTCCATGTCCTCTACCTCCCAGCAGTAGGTATGAAGGATCCCACATCCCACTCAGAAGTCATTCGTCAATATCTCACAAGTGTCTTCTCACTCAGTTTCCTTCCACCACTTAAGTCTTGGATCATTTTTCAAAGGAAAAAAATTAAATTGGGACTAGGCAGGAGCTAGATGGTCAGTCATTAGGCAATGAATTCACAACCTCCTTTTGCCCTGGTGGAAGTTAGATTCTATCATATGCCTGTCCAAGAAGTAGGCAAATGGGCTGTGGGATTCCCTGGGCTTAGATCATCATTGGAAACTGAACAAGCAAAACCAAGTGGTCTTCCAGGGCACTGAGGCCATGTGAACTCTGAGGCAGGAGGGGCCTCACCACGTCGGACTTGGTGGTGAACCTGTAAGTCTGTAGACTCTCCAGTGCCATCCATTTGACAGGTAGGCGAGCATGGCGGTGTTGTTGGACACTGTAGTACTCCTTGTCCAAGATGCCACGGGTCAGACCAAAGTCAGCCACCTTGACTGTGAATGACTTGTCCAGCCTGGCAAGGGAGATCATACTCAGGACTGGCCCACATCAGGCCCTGAACACACCTGTTTCAGGTTCTCACAGGTTTCAGAGCCAGAGTGTCTAATCTAAGATTGCACTGGGTAGACAGGAACACTGAGGCCCAGAGATGGAAGGAAAGGCATGCCCACAGCCACACAGCAAGGGCTGGAGTATGGGACCTTCTCTGAGATGCTCTTGGGTAGCCACATACCCTGCTATTGCCCCCTCATTTCATCCCAGGTGTTCCCATCTCTCACATGCAGTTCCGAGCAGCCAGGTCCCTGTGCACAAATTTCTTCTTTGCCAGGTACTCCATGCCACGGGCTACCTGCAGGCCGAAGCCGATGAGGTCCTTCACTGTAGGGTTCTGGGAATACAGAAGGTGGTTTGGTGGGTAAGGGCAGAGCAGCTCCATCCCCAGTTGTTGCCCGAAACCCCCAACCCAGGGCCAGCTGAGCACTAACCCGCTGGGGTGAGCGGATAAACTGTCGCAGATCTCCGTGGCACATATAGGGCAACAGCACACAGGGCAGTCCCTCAGGTGGCAGCATGATGCCGATGAGAGCCAGCACATTGGGATGGTGCAGACCACTCATGAGTAGCCCCTCACGCAGAAAGGCCTCCACCTCCTGCACCTCTGTGATGCCTGCATAGTGACTTGAGTCAGACCCAGGGCAGGGAGGTCCCATACAAAGATAGTAGGGGCCATGGAAAAGAAAAGTCTCCTGCTCAGGGTCATTCAGCTAGATGGTGTCACATCAGGGATAGGATCCTCCCAGCCTGGGGCTCCTCCTCCCAACTTCTAAGCTCCTGGCTCACTTACGACTCAATGACTTGATGGCACAGTGGATTCGGTTCTGGGCTTGATCTGTGTATTCCCCATGGTAGACAATTCCAAAGTGGCCTGGTGCGGGGAGGTTTGAGAAGGCCATTAGCCCCCAGTGCTTGTACCATAACCTTTCACTGGCAACTAGATCTCTGGCCAATCCAACTTAAAAGCAAGAGGCAGCGTATGATGGCAGAGCCTGCAGCCTTCCCCTATCTGCTTAATCTGTACCAGAACCCATTGAAGACAGAACTGTTTTAATTCCTATTTCAAAGCTGAGCAAATGGAGGCTCAGAGAGGTTAATTTAAGTAGTATGCCTAAAATCACACAGGTTGGTGAGAAGACCAGAGCAGAAGCCAGCCCAACTGTTTCTTGAACCCGTGTCATTTTAGAACTCCATCTCTGCTCCAGCCCAGCAAAGCCACACCTTTGCCAATGACTTGATCGCTGTGGGTGACCACTCGCTCATAGGGAATCAGCACATCCTGGACCTCATCCAGGAGCTTGGAATCTAGGTCCTGGAGTTGTATGGACTTTGTCTGGAGCAACGGGACATGGGGCCCATCTCTGTCATCTGAGAAGGATACTCTGTGGGTACAGGTGGTGGGGTCCAGACCCCCACTGGCAGGGGGTTCTGTGGGAGAGAGGAAGTGAGAGGTTTGGGGGGTGCAGAGGGGATAACCCCAGCTTTCAGTGCCCCCACCATCTCACCAAGTCTACTTCTGTAGTCAGAGCCTGAGCGTAACAGAGGCAGGGGGATGGTTCCAGAGGTGCGATCCAAGGATGCCAAGTCATCCAAATTGGGAGAAGGAACTGTGGAAGGAAGGCTCCTAGTGGCCAGTTCCTCAAAGCTCCTTGGAGCCCATTCCCACCCATGAGGTATGGGCAGACTCCCATAGCCCAGGCAGAGTGAGAGTGCAGGGACTTGGAGATGCCAATGTTTGGTAGTAGGGGCCGAGTCAGACTGGAGGTAGGAGGCTCACCTGGCTGCTTGCTTCGATACCAGTAATTGAAAACCAGAGTGACAACCAATGCAGCCACCAGCAGGATCAGGGCAAGCAGGACACCGAGGAGTACACCCTGTTGAAGCCCTTCTGGGCCTAGTCGTATAACCTTGCCCAGGTCGTGACACACACTATCCACGCAGACCTGAGGGCAGGGAGCAGCTCAGGCGCAGCCTTCAGGAGCTTGATTGACCCAAGTCTTCTGTGGAAAGCCAACTGGACTGCCTACCTGCAGCAGGGCACCATTCTTGCCAAGTTCCAATGAGGGGGGAAGGGGACAGATGACCATGTCCCCCCGGAACTCATGCTGGCAGATCTCACCACCAATGGTCACATTCAGACTCATGCAGTCAGCCACAGCGCTCAACCCAATATACTGCAGAGAAGATCATGAGGACTGATGTGGCCCACTCAAGTGGCCCCTAACTCCCTTAAGGAGACTTCAACCCTAATTCCCCATAATTCAATCCAACCCCCAACCATTAGCCACACCTACCTGGAACTTAATGGCATGTTCTTCAGGTTTCAGTGGGGTCAGGTCAGCAGTGGGCCGACGGGGTGGGGGCAGGAAGCGAAAGCCAGGCAGTGTGAAGCCAGCAGCTCCATCTCCCTGGGCACTCAAGTTCCCTATCACCCATTCCTGGGGACCTCGGACCACGTATTCAGGCAAATAGCACTTCTGCTGCTCCGGGAGCTGCCCTTCACACTGTTGGGACCCACAGGATAGTAGTAAGGCAGTCGCCTTATTATAACCATCTCAATCTCAGCCCAGTATTGGGTGGAATTGAAGCTCAGGGGACAGGCCTGGCCTTCTTCTCCTTCAGGGTCAGTGCTCACTCTGTGCTGCAAGCACCCACTCACTCTGTTTGTCACTGCCTCAAATCCGTCAAGGAATGACAGCATTAGATGCGATGCTGAAGTCAGGTGTTGGCCATGGATGGTAACATGGGAGCCACTGTGGGGAAGGGCAGGGTGAGAAGCTGTTTCCTTACCCCTCAGAAGACAGGGTAGGTAGGGAGGTGGCACTTACGTGTAGCCACAGTTGGGGCTGATGTTCAGAATAACAGGGTCTTCCTGGTAGTGGAAGGTCAAGGAGCTTGGTACCTCTGCACCCCCCACCAGCAGGCGAAGGGGAACTCTGGCCATGGCAGCCCCTGGGGGTGTGGTACATAGAAGCTGCCCCTCGCTGACCCTGCAGAATGGGGATTGGGCTGAGGAGCACCCCTATGTGGTGGCAAGGCCCACCTCCTCCAGGGACTTACCCACCTCTCCCTCCCAGTCTCTCTGTTGGGGATCTCCCCACTTGCCCATACCCCACAGGTCTGTCTGTAGATATAGTAGACCCAAAGAGAGCCCCATTAGAGGGAACACGATACCCATAGTGTTGGCAGGAATACATGGACTCTGCAATGGGCTCTCCTACCAGCCCATGCCGGTACATGTGCTGGGAACACGCCTGCTCTGGGCTGGAGAGGGCAGCAGACAGACCCTTCTCCATGAACCTACTCCCCATATTGAAAGTGTCTGGGTCTTTCTCCTTTTGCCTTAACAGGGATCTAAGTTCCCATTGGTGAGAGCTCCCCTGGGCAGTGCCCCCTAGCCTCCCATCCCTTGCCCGCTGGCACTTACTGTTCTAGAAGGCACTCAGTCCCATTGACCAGCACAACCTGGCTGCTTCCTACACAGAAACCCTCACCTTTGAGGGTGAGGAGGGTGCCCCCTGCCTGCGGGCCAAAGTGGGGCTGCACGTCTGTCAACACTGGTTCCTAAGAGGGCATAGAGGTGACTAGCTGGATCAGGCCCACTTCTCCATACCCTTCCCTGCCCAGCCAGCCAAGGCCACAGAAGGGGCAAGATGGTCTCACCATGAAAGAAAAGCCTTGCAACACAGAGGTACCTTCCACCCGGAAGTGTTTGCCTGTTGTCATGTTGGCAACAGTGAGGCTAATGTTCGCAGGCCCAGCTGCCTGCATGGCCAAGGGCTCCAGCTCACACTCTAGTTCGTCTATAAAGTCCTTCCGAGGCACTGATCTGGGGCATGAAGAACCCGTGAGGTTAGCCGGGGGTCACACAGGTTTGGCTACATACTTGCCATGAGTCATGTCATAGGTCTCATTTAAGCTTGAGGATGACATCCCCTATGACCTCTTTCAGGGTAGGCAGGATCTAATGGGGCAGGGAACAACTTTGCCTGGTCCATAACTCAACAGAGGGTCAGGGCACATGCAGACTCAGAAAGGAACAGAGATGTCTCCCCAAACACAGAACCAGAACCACAATGGGTCTGCCCCTTGCTTCATACCCCCTTCCTCCAGGACAGGGCCTGACAGGGAAAGAGCAGCTTGGATACCCTAGCAGAGATACAAGAACAGAGACCAGATCATACCTGAGCTTTGAGGTGTCCTTGGGCAGCAGCCGGCACGAACTTTGGCCCACGGTGACCTGATGGGTGCCTTTAGGCACCAAGCCATCAGGGTGCAGGTATAAATTGGAGCCACACAGGGTCAGCCTTGTGCTACCCCTTAGGGGTCCACTATGGGGATGGAACTGAGGGGAGGGACAGATAGCCTGAGTCCCTGTGTGGATCTGGGCTCTCAGGCTTGTCTGTTTGCCCCAAAGTCTCCCATCCTACACTCCAACCACTCTGGGTCACTTAGTAGTCAAGTATCCCTGCATCCAAGCATTTGCATATGTTATTCTATGGCCAAGAATGCCCTCTTTAGATACTAAGAATACCCCAGGCCTGAGGAAGATCGTGGTGAAGACTTGCTAACCCCCACCCTAGGCCAAGCTTGTTTCATCCTTACCTGTGCCAGGGAAGCCATACCTCAGTGAGCTCAGGTGGACAGTGATCCTGTTGCCAGGAGCCAGGACACTCTTTTTGCCGACCACACATGCCCCCACACCAGCCACAGCCCATGAAGCGCTGAGCCCGAAGGCAACGCGCACAGGTGAGGAAGTGGCGGCAGCCAGGGCCCCTGATGGGTACCTGGAAGACCTTGGGATGATAGACGGGTGGTTCAGAGGTAACTCTGATGAGGAGCCACCTGGGCCTCATAGACTCCCTGGTCCCATTCTAAGCCGGGGTGGTGGAACCTGGCTATGTCAATCCTCACCTGGTTTGGATGGGGAAGTTATATTCCCCCAGCCCCTGACCCTGGTCCATCTTACCTGATCCCCAGAAGCAAAGAGCAGATGATCCCGGAGGCGACTGATTTCCCGCTGAATGGGCTGCCCATTGCTTCCCAGTGAGAAGTTGGATACATACAGCAAGTAGTTGGAAGACCTGGCCAGCTCCACCTGGGACAGTTAAGCTGTGAGTAAGATAGGAATGGGGATGGGGACCCAGACCTAGAACTCTGTGGGAATAAACAACTCACCTGTAGGATGCGCCCATCAGCCGTGCCCATGTGTGCCACTGTGACATTGCCCAGGGGAGTCACGTATAGCGCAGTGACCTGCAGGGTTCCCAGCATCCCATTGAATAAATCTATCCGTGAGATGCTGCTGCTGCTGCTGACCAGCAGAGGGAAGTGTTGGCAGCTGATGTTGGGGCTGAGGACCACCAGGCCAGGCTGGAGAGAGCAGGAAGGAGGGTCAAGGCTGAGTCCCACACACTGAACTCATGGGACCTCTGTCAATGGCCACAGAAGCCCAAGATTCTCACCCCTGGAGAAGGTCTAAAGTCCGCTAGCCAGTAGGATTAAGGAAGAAGGCTTGGGCTGGAAAGCTGGCTCCCTCACCAGCTGCCCTATTCTATCATGTTCATTCTGATAATGCTACCACTGAGTTTTACAGACCCAACCTTATCCTGTCCTCACAACTACCTTTTTGAGTGGGTGCTCTCATTTTACAGATGAGGAAACAGGCTCAGAGATTTAGTCACTTTCGAAGGCCTCAGAGTCCTTCACAAGAGGAGCCAGGTTCAAAGCCTGAGCTTTTAACCGGAGTTCTCCCATGCTTTCTGTTGGCTCTGTCCTGCCTCTTTGTGCACAGCTCAACATATCTGTCCCTTTGTCAGGCCTCTATTTCCCCATATGCACAAGGGGTTGGACTCCAGCTGGGCTAACTGGGCTACTAACAGCATCCCTCTCCGTGAACCACCAAAGGTTTTCTTGAACCTCAGGCCATTCCCCGTATCTCCTTCAGAGTACAAACAAGATCAAGGGAGGTCCAAGGACCTGGGTACCAGGAGATACTAACCCCTTTCCTGATCTTAGCAGGAAGATAGTTGGAGGCTTCACCCAGTGTCCTACAGCAGGGTTATGGAAGTCAGGGTGTGAGTTGTGAGTACCGGTGTTGGAGCTCAATATACAGTCAGTGCCTGTGTGAAGTAAATGGTTAAGTGCTAGCTGAAAGGTTGGTTATCCGAACTCACCCAGATGGGCGTTGGAAGAGAAGCCTGAGAACCTGCTTCAGAAAGGTAAGAGCCTTGAAAACTCCATGGAGCAATTCTACTCTGTACACATGGGGTCACCATGAGTTGGAATTGATTCAACGGGACTAACAACAACGAAGAGGTACAGTCACGGCTCAGCAGCCTCAGGGCCAAGGGCACTTCTCAAAGCTGGAGCCTCTAGGCCCCATAGGATCAAGCAGGCAAAACCCAATCCTGAGCTTTCTGTTGTGATCAGAAACCCTGGGTAAGAGGGCAGGTATAGAGCTAGGCACAGAGACCCACCCCTATCTGCTACTCCTGCCACACACACATACCTGGGTGAGTGAAAGGGAGCTGGAATTCTGTCCTCACTTGAGGTGGGTGAGGGGCCTTGCCCTAGCCGGAAGCCAACTGGGTGTTTTCAGCATGACTCAGGGACAGGTGGGGCAGAAAAGAGGCCACACCTTTGCTGGCTTGCCCCTAGGACCTGGGTTCCCAAGCTAGTCTGAGAGACCTTAGTTCCTGGAAATTAAGTGACTTAGGTGTCCAATGCCCCACTTTGGAGGGTGAGTGGGAGGGTGACTTCCTCAGACTCGCATCCCTCCTGAATCCATGGAGGATGCTCTAAGACCAGCCTACTAACATGCTGGTTGCTGCCCTGGTGGCTGCATGTCCAGAGTCCCTGGACAAAGACTAGAGGGTTGACTCACACGCCTCCCAGGGAGTGGACAGGGCCTAATATTAACCCTCCTGGAGGCTGGTACTACCCTGTCATGCTGGGTGCCTACTGACCCACTGACCACTACCCAGGTCAGGGAAAGGTTCTGAAGTAGAGGACAGACAGGAGGCCCAGACAAAAGTCCCCATTACCAGGGCAACCTTAACACATATGGACTCAGCCATCTGCTGAAGGACTCCCTCTCTGGGCATAAATTCTCTGCCCACCCGTGGGGCATCAATAAGAGATATTAAAGGAGTCAGTTGAAATTGTCACAGTATGAACAAAGCCACAGTACCACTAAAAATCCTAACAGCAGTAGCTGTTGGTCAGCTCACTGAAAGGCTACTTGTCTAGTACTCCATTCACCTAATTTCCTTGGTTTAACCTTTAGTCTTGAGTGGAACTGTTATAATGGCTTCAAGGGATTGGTTTGACTTTGTCCTCAAGGTAGTATTTTAAGTTTGTTTATGTTCCAAGTACCTGACACCATAGCTGGAGAGAACCTGGGTACAGTCAGCTGGAAGGAGCTGCAATCCGAGGCCTCCCCAACTTGGAACTTCCTGCCTGGGACAAGGACGCAACTAAAATAGAAGAGCATTTAGGAACTCCTGCCTGGTGGACCAGTTCTTAGCAGCTCCTGCCAAACCTTAGCTCATTCCCTGCATAAGCCTGGAGTGAGCTATCTGGAAACCTCTGAAGCCAAGTTGCCTTCTAGTATACAGACCTTCTCCCTTCTCCCAGTTACCTCAAGGAGAACAATCAGTAGTAAGTGATTCCGTGAAGTCCAGGGGCTTCTCAATAAGCCCCAACTTTCCAAGGCCTAACAGATTTTCCAGAACCTGGCAGGGTGGGGGTGGGGTGCATTCTCTGACAACTCTTGCCCCACCCCTTTGGAAAGTGGAGCAAAGTAAGTGATCCTACAGAGAAAGCGAAACTATGAGTAGCTGCATGAGTCTGTGTGTCTTTGAGCAGCTGCCTGTGTGTTATTTGTGCGTGAATAAGGAGCTATTTTTCTGTGTCCCTGGTGATGTGTATAGTGTGTAAGGGGTTGCTTTTCTGGGTGTATATGTCCCTGAAATAGTGTGTGGTGGGTTGGTGGGCAGGTGGGCAGGGGAGTCGGACGGATATTCACTATTCTACCCAGAATTTTCAAGCTGTGTTTGGCAGAGATAGTTATGATGCAATCCAATCCTCACATAACAAGAGGAACCACCCCAAAACAAATCAGAGGCCATGATGGGTTGTTGTTGCTGCTAAGTGCCATTGAGTCTATTTCGACTCATAGTGACCCTGTATAGGGTTTCCAAGGAATGGCAGGTGAATTTGACCTGCCGATCTTGTGGTTCAAACTGACCTGTGGCCCAGTGCATTATCCCACAGCAGAGAGCAGGGCCAGCCTGGGTGAAATAAATAGGCATCTCCATGTGGCCTTTGCCTGCTGCCCCACACAACCCCCCAGTACTAAGGAGTGGGAAAGAAGGTTTCTTCTCATTTGCATGCCCTCCCTTCCCTCTTAAACTCTCTTAGAGGTGGAAGGTAAGCAGCCTGGGTTCAGTCATGTGCACACTCCTTTTGTTCTGCTTACCGGGTTGGGGCAAAAGCTAGGCAGCTGGAAGAAGTCCAGACCTCTTCGGAGTCCGGAGTGGACAGGGGACTGGCAGCAGCTCTCCACACCTTGTTCAATGAGAGCATTCAGCAAGTAGATAGGGAAAGCACAGACAACAGAATTAGGGCCTTCGAGTGAAACACGGTCTCTGCTTCTGGCAAAGACTCCGAACAGCACTTCCTGACCCTCAGTGATACTCAGTTCAGAGGCCAGCTGAGCGCCTACGGGAGCTACGTGGGCTGCACGTAGCACTGGATAAGGCTGCCCGCCTTTAAGGACCCTGCGTCGCCGTCGCCGTCGTTTAGGCTCAAAACTGCAGTGAAGGACCAGCTCACGGTAGTCACCCAGCTCTACCTCAGTGGCACTGAGTCGAGCCAGGCGCGTGTGCAGCGCGCTAGACGCGGCCTCCACACTGACCGGTTGCACAGTTAGAAAATAAACGAAGGCTCCAGCGTGGAAGCTGTACACATACTCTATACTGTAGGAGGTGAGGTATGCCGGCAGCACCGACAGTGCAGCAAAGTCTGGTGCAAATCCCGAGGCGTCTGCCTTCAGACGCCGGATGGACACTGAGCACGGACTGAAGTTGGCGGCCACGGTTGCGTTCAAAGACGACGCCACATAGAAATAGGAAGCCTGGCCCTGCTGGACCACAGTCACACGGGTGCCTAGTGGGCTGGCCACACAGTCAGGACAATGTTCGGGCCGATTGTGGTGGGCTGAGAAGAGACACGTCGGCGGCGCCAGGTGCACGGTTTCTTCTCCAAACTCAAGTTCATGCAGAAAGCAACGGCCGTGGAGGCTCGAGCCACAGCTGATCAGGGCAGGCAGCGCTGGCTCCAGTACCAGCACCTGAATGTCTGTGTCGCCCGGTGGGCCATGAGGCCCTGGCCCACAAGCTGAGCACGTCTGGCAGCCAGGATCCCCGACGGGGCCCATGGCCAGACTCTGGACTAGCTGCAGGCCGGGCCCCAACACATGCAGGCTGTTGCGTGTCGCCACGAAAACGGCACTCACGTACTGGTACTCGTAGGTCGCCAAGGCCTGTACTGGGCCGCCGACAGAAAAGTTGGATACAGAGTACTCCACGTCAAAGTCGCGGGAGGCTGCGTAGGGGATTCGTGAGCACTGCCCAGTGCTCTGGCATTGCCCGACTGTAGGAATCGTCGTCGGCAGTAACAACAGTAACAGCAGCAATAGTGCGAGCTGAGGCGACAGCGGCTGGAGAAGCGCCATCGAGGTTGGGTTGGAGCCCCGCAAGGACTCTTGTAGGCGCGGACGGGGACTGAAGTCTTGACTGGGGCCAGCATACAGTTACAGCGTCGGTCCTTAGAGACCCCGGGCAGCCGCTCCCTGCCCGGGGCTCCTTTGAAGCTCAACCCTCGCTCCCGCTCTTGGGTCAGAGCTCGTAGGGCGGGAGGACAGATGGGAAGGGAATGCAGCAGCCGCCTCACCTGCAGCTCGCGTTGACGCGCCAATCTGTGTTCAGAGCAAAGTCTACTAAAGGGCTTGGGGCCAGGCAGGCGGGACCACAGTGAAGGGCGGAGCTGGGGGCGGGACCGTGTTGAACATCTGACCTAGCCCAACTCCTCAGCCCATCTGACTCCCCGCCTTCGGAAACCTGGGTCTTGCACCTTCTTTCTTGGACGCCTTTTGCTAAGCGACCCGTGGGTGTGTGTGACGTGGCCGGGAGATAGGTGAGTAGGCTTGTGTCTTCCTATCAATCGCTTCGCGACTCACTAGGCTAAGGTGTAGAGGGGTCGGCATAACTGGCCCCAACAACAGTAAGGGGAGCAGAGTAACCTGGCTCATTTCTTCCTGTGGAGCGGTGTATCCTAACACTCCCAACTTCATATTGATGCTGGTGACGAATGGAACCTTAGAAGCTCACCATGTGGGAAGCAGAGATCAGGGATGTGTGGAGAATGAGAGGGGAGACTGGGAGGACTCCGCAGGCAGTTATGTTGGGCACCTCCGTCTGATGGTGCTGTGGGCTCCATTCCCTGGAATATTGAAAGGCTTATAAATAAGGGCACAGATTACTGGATATATGTTGTTGTTATGTGCCATGGAGTCGATTTCGACTCATAGTGACCCTGTACAGGGTTTCCGAGGCTACAGATCTTTATGGGAGCAGAAAACCTCATCTTTCTCCCGCAGAACAGCTGGTAGTTTCAAACTGCTGACCCTGAGGTTCACAGCCCAATTTGTTCCACTACACTACCAGAGCTCCTTGGATGTATGTTGGAGTTCAGGAAAAGGTAACCTATGCAGAGGCCCAACCCTGGCCCTCGTCCCTGGTTTGCTACCTCAGTGTGTGGACTCACAATGTCAACTTCCAGGAAGGCCTACCTCCTTCCCAGTCCTGCTCCAATGTTGTTAGTTATATGCACAACAGAACAAAACATGGCCTGATCTTGCACCAACCTCAAAATCCTTTCTACGCTTGATCCCATTGTTGCTGCCACTGTGCCAATCCATCTGGCCCTCCACTTTACCTAAGATAATATCCTTTTCCAGGAATTGGTCCCTCTTGATAATATGTCCCAAGTGTGAGAGACAAAGTCTGGTCACTCTGGCTTCCAAGGAGCATTCTAGCAGTACTTCTTCCAGCACAGATTGGTTTGTTCTTTTGGTAGTCCATGGTACTTTTAATATTCTTCTCCAACATCATAACTCAAATGCATCAAATCTTCTACAGTCTTCCTTATTCCCTGTCCAAATTTCACATGTATATGAGGTTACTGAAAATGCCATGGCTTGGGTCAGG